GATGGGCAGACAGAGAAAGAGGAGGGTGAGGAGCGCCTGTGACAGGATGACTGTGGATAGGACAGCAAAAGGGGCAGTGCGATGGGCAGACAGAGAAAGAGGAGGGTGAGGAGTTCCGGTGACAGGAATAGTGCCAGTGGTCAGGCGAGGAGTGATGGGTCAGAATGAGTAGAATGCATACTGTACATATGTGCAATGAGGAGCAGGCGGAGGGAATCAGCACAGAGAGCCCAGAGTCCCTTTCTGACACCGAGTTCACCCTGCTTCTTTGAGATGGCATGTGATTAAGTACAGTACCTCAAAAAATGGCCTCTCTGTTATCTTTGCATATCTATTATGCAGTTACCTAACAGATGTGACTATTATGAAGCTTCCAGACTTTTCAGCAGTTATCCGACTGCACATAAAAGGCACAGAACAGTGATCAGAATGATGAACTGTCTGATGCTGTGTTGTTAACGGGGATGCTACTTGTGCCTAAAGTGAAGTAGCAATTAGTCATGTACTGTCATGCATTTCTTAATGACAGGGATACGTTCAGAGAAATGTGTCGTTAGGCAATTTCGTCATTGTGAGAACATAACCCTAACCCTAACACATACCCAGATGGTATGATGTACTGCACACCTAGGCTATATGGTGTAGCCTAAATAACAATAAAAAGTACAGTACTGTAAATACATTAACCAGTAGCGTAATTTCATGCTCCAAAGCATGTTTATTATGCACTGTACAGTACATACTGTTCTAAGTACATGCGCTGTACTTTTAGACAACTAGCAGTGCAGTGGGTTTGTTTGCACCAGCATCACCATAAACACATGAGTAATATGTTGTACCACGACGTCACTACAGCTTTCGACTCCATTATAATCTTAAGGGTCCCCTGTAGCACATGGAGGCCCTCGTCATTATGCCATTATACATACAGTACACAGTGCGTGTCATGCCGGTATGACAGCATGTGCTTCTTATCTTCCTTTTCCTTTCTTATATTTCTCTTTCTCCTTCTGTTCTTCTCACTACACCCTTTCCTCTCCTTCTCTTCCATGTCATCCTCTTTCCCTGCCTCTCGCCTGATCCAGTTTGGAAGGACAGAAGTAATTGACAACACGCTGAACCCGGACTTTGTCCAGAAGTACATTCTTGACTACTTCTTTGAGGAGAAACAAAACCTCCGTTTTGATCTGTGAGTAATTTTACTTATTGACCTTCACTTGATTCCTGAAGAAGACTGAGTATCTCCAAAGTACTGCTCACTTTGTTTCTGTGCTCCCACTCAGCTGCTCCAAAGTCCTGCTCACTCTGTCTCTGTGCTCCCACTCAGCTGCTCCAAAGTACTGCTCACTCTCTGTCTCTGTGCTCCCACTCAGCTGCTCCATTTCTTTCTGTATCTTCTCCTCCTTCAGATAGGACCTGGCACCTCTCTGTCTGGCACACCTGGTGTGCTATGTAATTTTTGCACTTTTGCGTCTTCTACTCCTTCCATGTTTTTCCACACCCCCACCTTTTTACTGTCCCTGGAGGGCACACAGGCTGGTGTGCCTTACTCCATTCATGAGTGTGAAAGGCAGATTGGTGCTGTGGAGGGGGTGTATGTAGTTGAAGTGGAGGGGTGGGGGGACATGATTTAATTACGGCTCTCTGAAAGCTGGGTGAGACTGTACCCCCCTCTGCACAGGCTCTCTGATAGCTGGGAGAGATCGCTCTGGTTAGAGGACGGCAGAAGCCCTAGCAGAAGTGTCAGCATGATGTACATTTTCCTTTCCTGTGTAGAGAGAGGCTGTCAGTTTACAGCCTTGTCATTCTCCATTTGCTGTATGGCAACTGTTTGGGACTCTGAGTCATCAAATGCCAGAATAGGGGCACAGGGCAGGTATTATCCAGCACCGTCACTGAGCCCCTTTGTCTGCTCTCCTTTCTGATGTTGGGGGTTCTCATTGAATGGAGAATGGAGTTTGACAGATTCCAGTTCCAACACTACAAGCTGGTCACATGATGCCCCTATAGGATGCACAAAATAAAGTTGTTATTCCACACCTCCAGTCAGCCTGATGGATTGTGGTCTTCAGTGTATCATACTGAGGTGTGGGTGTCACTCTGCACTTCATTCCAACTGAAATGATCAAAAGAGCAGGTTAGCCTCACCTCACATGCCTCTAGGTAACACTACATGTCAGCCTCATCCACACCTCTTACCATAATCATCAATAAACGTGTCACTGTCAGAATCTCAGGAGACATTTATGTTTACGTTTACTTAGTTGACACTTTTGTCCTAAGTGGTGTACAACTGAGGCAAATCACACATTACAAACATACAGCTGTCAGGTAGTCAGCTTGCATAAGTGCAGCTAGGCTGAGCTTGTGATGGATGCACAGGTACAGGTATAAGTAAGACTAAAGAATGAGCCTCACAAAATCTCTCAGACAAAGCAAGAGCCTATTGTTCAGTCAGTAGCAAAACAAAAAGATCATTGTGGTATCATTCATGCCTGGATCAGTGTCACAGAACTATCTGACAGTCATGTCTCAGTAGCGAGGAGAGGTATTCCAAGCATGAGCCTATGCGGACTTTTTTTCCAAGTTTACAGTCTGAGTTCATCATATAAATCACAGCTGCTGAAGAGTGCACTGTTTTCTGGGTCTAACTGGCCAATCTTTTCCTGTAAGATGTATCAGGAAGGATTCCGTGTTGCTTGACTTACTTGCCAATACCCACTTCTGTTTGTTGTTTTGTTCCCTTTTAATTTCAGATATGATGTTGATTCAAAAAGCTCCGATCTGTCAAAACATGTGAGTGAGAAACCATAAAGTGCTTGCGTGTTGCCCTTACAAGAATATGCATGCTGCATGCTGGGTGATTTTATGGTAAAGTGTGTGATGTCTCCGTTGGTTATGTTGCTATTCACAGCCCACCAGAAGCTCACATCGTATTTCTCAGTTACGTGCTCTGTTTACGCACCTCTGGACGCTCATAACTATGTCCATGCCAACTTTACATTAGATGTTGTAGTCTTGCTATGCTTTTTGTCACAAACCAAGCTTGTTGTTATGAATATTTGCTATCTAACCATGTATGGAAGCACCTGTGTCATCTGACCAAGACACTAAATTAAATTTAGTTCCAGTCTAGATGCTCTGCTTGCCACTCAGACTAACACTTATGAAGGTGCCAGGGGCTTCAATGAAAAGATCCATAAATGTAACCCATACTTAAATATTGAATTGTATTCTGGGGCGATATTCATATAGTTCTGAGACGGCCTTGTCAGTGGACTGAACTGATATTCTGATTGATAATCTTCACATTTTTGTACCGGGCGGCTGTCCTGTGTGGGCGGTCATGCCTCCCAGCGCCCGCACACCCTTCCTGCAGTGCCGTTTCTTCACCGCGCTCTCCTCTCTGTATCTCTGTGTCTCTATGCTCATCTGTTTCGTGATCTTGTTCCGTCATGCTAAAACACTGCTGCCTGAACGGCCCCCGGAAGCCGTCTGAACTCCACGTACGTCTCCACCTCTCACCTGATTCTTTCCTTTGAATGCTGCACAGTAAGGTGGCCGCCATCTGTCCTCACCATCTTCCTCTATCTGCTCTGGCCTTCCATAGGACTTCCTGGGCCAGACTTTCTGCACATTGGGGGAGATCGTGGGGTCCCCTGGCAGCCGTCTGGAGAAACCCTTGGGGTGAGTTCTTCTGCTAGGCCCCGCAATGCCCTCATATTGCAACTCTAGTCAGGTGCTTTGGCCAACTGGAGATCCCCAACCCTCCTTTCATCTGGCATGAAGACCAGCCCAACTTAACCATTAATATACAAAGAACAGCGGCTCCACACAGGGATGCCAATCATGCAATAAGCATTTTTACCAGGAAGTACATCCCACGTATGCAGCTGATGTCAGCATACACAGGTGTGAGAAGCTGGGCAGACGTTCTCATTGAACAGGACTGCCACCACCTGAGCATGAGCAGACTAAAAAGAGGTTGGTCCAACCAATGGTCACTACCCATTAGACTGTGGACTGCGTCTGTAACAGCTCTCAGGCAGTGCCTTCCTCTGTCCCTCTTTCTCTGCTATTTGCCAGCTGAACCCTTCGGTCCCTCCATGTTTCCTGTTCCTACTGGCTTCTCTACCACTTTTTCTTCTCCTCTTTTTTTCTTACCCTGTATCTACCCATCTGTCTTCTTTACTCCCCTCTTTTACTTTGCCAAACAATTAATGGTTTAGTGAAAAGGATACATGGATCCTACTTTGCACACAGAGATACACAGCTCAGCATCTCATTGTGAACACAGCCTGCTTCCTCCTTAGCAAACAGAGACACGCAGCTCAGCACCTCAATGTGAACACAGCCTGCTTCCTGCTTAGCACACAGAGACACGCAGCTCAGCACCTCAGTGTGAACTCAGCCTGCTTCCAGCTGAGTGAATAGAGAAAAGTAGCTTATTCTGTTCCATCCTCTGTTTCACTCTAATCCAGAAGTAGCTGCTGCCTATAAGGCAGCTTGTTTTGAGCTGCGCAGGGGATGTTTCAGAGACATGGTGATATCGGCTTATGCAACACCGTGTGCCTGTCTGATAAGGAGAGAAGTCCAGTTCAGGTCAGGCAGAGGAGATGGGAACACATAATATTCAGGCCATGCAGATCATCACTCCAGTAATTCCCTATGTCTCTCTCTACCTATTTACACCTCTTCCTCCATCTATCAACCGCCAGATTTCACAGCAGGGCCCTGTGCCCTGAGACTGTGGTGGTTCGGGTTCGAGTCCCTGCCACCTTCCATCAACCCCGTCTCTGTATGGCACACCCTCCTTGGTCTCACAGTAAGGCCCTGAGCACTGAGACTGCGGTGGTTCTGGTTCGATTCCCTGCCAGCTTCCATCGACCTGACTTGGCAGTACCCTGCTTTGCTGGGCCCTGGTGCCCCCCTGCCCACCTCTGTGTGGCATCAGTGAATGGCTTGTCAAGGGTCCTCAGCTCTTCTTGTACCATATGCTTGCTTTCTGTCCCTTAGTTCTTCAGCAAATCCAGTATACAAATCACACTTGAGTTCAGTTCATTTTATTTCTATGTAGTATCTTTCCCAAAGCACCTAACAAGAAATTTTATTGCAAACAGAAGTGACTATTAAAAAAAATACTTAAAATAAGAATGCCATGGCCATGCACTGTATTAGAAAATGATCAAAATAGGGCAGTAATAATGTCTTTTATTGATTTTTTTCAGGCTGTAGAGTTTATTGTGGTCAGTTGCTTAGATTATGTGTCAAATAGCTTGTTGTTTCCTTCACAAAAGCAGCTGCTTTGATCTTAGTTTTTAACTTCAATGGCTTCCAGGTACTTTGTTCAGATGCAACAAAAAACAAGGCCATATGTAAATTTTCCCTGTGGTTACCTGCTTACTGGGCTCTATATCTTCATTTCGCCAGATGGATTCTGTTGTCCATCATTTAAGTGGTAGGAGATTAATGATGAGTTGCGGGCCATCACAGTGATCTTCTTCATGTTACTTATATTAAATATCACAAAATCCCAGGTTTTTTCTTGACCTCTTATCTTTTTGTCTTTTTAATTTTCCAAAAGCAGATATTTAACAGTCTTTGAATCATCTCAGGTAATCATTTAGTTGTCTTTAATACTCAGATTATCACACAGACAAATGACAGTATTGATGGCAACATATGTCTGTTCAAACTTATCATTTATTTGACAGACCCTGTGGCATCAAATTAAATGTCAGCATATAAAAAATCCTTTTCAGTAGTTGGTAATTGAAAATGACTTCTCTGTGGTCTTTAAGATATAACAAAATAAGAAAAAATCTTCTTGGGTAAAGTGCATTTAATAATGTTCTTTATGTCATTGGTGCAATTTTTATGGTGTGTCTATCATTTATGGAAATAGATTTGACATTTTTAGTAGTCCTGTCTTTAACAAACAATACTCATAAAAATGAAAAAGCAGTTGTAAATTTCACACAGATGTATCAGTAATTTACTTTAGTTTCCATAATCATACGAAATCAGATCCAAATCAGTATGAGATCGACAGCAGACTCATGATGTTAACCTTCCATTGACTTGCTGATATAGCCTTGTTACCTTTCCGCCAGCGAAGCTGAGTTTGTGGACGGAGGACAGACTGTCCAAGGGCACTTCATCCCAGCAGGATGGATTGAGAAGCGATTTTACAGTTTAGCTTGTGGGTGCAGGACTGCTCCATTGAGCATTGCTACAGGTATGGGAGAAGTTTGGCTGGGCCATGTTGACAGTTTAATGGTATTTGGCAGTATTTGATATTTCAATGCAAATGCTAATGCACCCCTCAAGCATTTTGTATATTTTTGATACGTCATATTCATTGCGTGATATGAAACTCCCAATGATCTTATCACATTCACATAAATGATGCTTAAACACTCAGAAAGCCCATGTGATCGCCAGCTGTATACCTTGATGGAGATCGTCAGCCTCCAGCGCCCTTGTTTACTGGTGTGAAGATGCCTTCAAGCCTCTGTCTCAGACCTGAAGACTCTTTAAACACAGAAAGCCCATGTGATCGCCAGCTGTATACCTGGATGGAGATCGTCAGCTTCCAGCATCCTTGTTTACTGGTGTGAAGAGGCCCTCAAGCCTCTGTCTCAAGTTCATGGGTGCAGAACATTAAGCTGACATAAGGGGTATAATAGAGGGGCAGGAAAGGCAGTGATCACCCTTCACACACATCTGTGATCTGGGCACAAGAACTGCTTCCTAACCTATGGCCTCACCATAATGAACATTGGTCACTTCTAGGTGGCAAGACTGCTCATTCATTCCCAAATAATAATTGATTAGTCTTCAGGTTATTAATATAAAATACAAGATTCCACTACAAGTATAAACAAGTAATTGAGATTGAACAGAGCCTCACAGAGGAATGGCAAATGATATGATCGTATCTGCATGTGCACTTTTGTACATTGACATATTCTGTACCAGGAAGACAGGCCTATCGAAAGCGTCTGGCTTAGGGAAGCTCTGAGACACGCAACCACATTTCCCTCACTGCTCAGTGCCCCTTCTGAAGCTGTGCTGGTAGTTGTGATGCTCAAATATGGCTTCACCATTTTGCACACACTTGCAAAGTTTATTAATGGTTTCTACACCCATCCAGAGGATTTGCTTCACTGTCAGCAAGACCCGTCTGCAGATACATCTGTATCTCCGCTTCATTGATCTGTCAGTGTGCAGCTGCTGGACCTTGTAGGTTCTTCCTGAAGCAGTTACCATATGTTTTCTTGGATTTTGGAGGTTCTTCCAGCTGGACTGCTGCTTCTGTCTGTGGAGATGTGGAATGTTCAGCAGTGTCTGAGGCTTAGATATTTAATGTAATCCACCATGTTGCTGCTAATATACTTGGTCTAATAGCTGCGGGATATCGAAAAGGTCATCGTTTTCCGAATCTGAATGTTTTTGGGTTGTTCTTTTTATGGCTTTAATGAGGCTTTTACCTGGCAAGGAATCAGTCAACTCTTGTAGAGGAGCCAGTGGTTTCTTGACCTATTTGAGGACATCAGTGCCCTGCCATCCAGGCATTCAGTGCCTGGTTTTCTTATCTTCAGCCAGGACTAATGGCCCTTTCTTGTTCAAGCATTCTCATAGTTATATTTATGACTGGGTATCACAGATCCAAGTTAATTAATGGACAGAAATCATGTCCTTAGCAATATACACAGTAACTGTATCATTGATGTCCCTCCATCTTTTGCTTTTCTTGTCTTAATTCATCAATGTTAGCTGTGTCGTGCTGGATGTGAGTTTGCACAGCATTCACACTGCATCATGTTTGTGATCATACCATTTTGGAACCTGACCCTGCCCACACTCTCTACCAGCTGTCTGCTTTCCAGAGCAGACCTTCTTGTTACTACGTGGCACTAGTGTCGACCACAGCTTATCCGTATCTCAGGATTACCTGCCTTGCTACAGTTTCTCACTTCATTTTAATCATTTTTTATTTAGGTTATGACATTTGTAATGTTAAGTTAATAATGTTAATATTATTTTATATTCTTGCTATGAGAAACTTCTGAAAATAAAATAGTTGGTAACAATATTGCGGAAATACATAAAGGTACCTTCACTTAATTCAATACTGGTATAGCTGAAAATAGGGTATGCTGTTCCTGCCCCAAGCAGAATTGACTTTTTCTGTGAGTGAAGAGGGATTTATTGTTAAAGGCAGCTATTAGTTCAATGATTAATAACACAGATCTGAAAGTTGGTCATTTTTTTCCAGTTTCCCAAAGGAAGCTGGTGTTTAAAGTTTGAGATTGATACTTGACTTGCATTGTGTGTGGAATCTAGGTGTGGAATGATTCATTGCCATTTACTTCTCCAATAGCTGAATATCATATCCAAATCATAGTTTCAATATTTAGGCAAAACATTAGAAACCATTCTGGCGAGGAACAGCTACAGAATCACAATCCAAAAGGTGTGAATTCAGATCCAATAACAGATCAGCAAAATCAAAGAAGCCACTCAGTAGGGAGAGTAACTCGCAGTAAGTCACAGTAAATCACAGTAACTCACAACTTCCTGGTGAATCTATGGCTGTGTCTGAATTCAGCGCAGCTTCCTTCTAAGGCCGACTGCATCACCATCCCATTTGACAGAGCTTTCTGTTCGACCTTCGGAAAACA